CTTTTAGATAAAAATGTGTTGATATTTCCATTGTTCTTGGTTTATAAACTTAGGGAGAAAGGGCTTTACAGTTATAAGTGTTGATGTTTTTCCCTTGTTCTTGTTTAATCTGTAGTGGAGTGACTTCAAACAGGAGAGATGTTTAAATTTTAATCAAAAAAAAACTACAAAAATTTGCTCAAATTTAAAATTCCCTTTTTTCAATGCCCGGAATACACATCAGAACCCACAGGCATTTACACAAACCCAAAAAAACCAATACCAAAACCTTGAACTAATGGGTGAGAGGGGCCCTGTATAGGAAAAGTCGAAACCTATTCAGAGAGGGAGAGAAAAAAATCATCGTTCCGCACATGAGTTAGAGGAAAGGGGTTTTTGCCTTTTTCTTTCACACCCCCCCCAAACGCCCCCACCCAAAACACAACCCATCCCCCCCTTTTTTTAAACTGGTCCATTATTTATAAAGGAAAAAATTTTGACCGTGGGTGAGAATTGGTTTTTTGTGACCCCGGGAGCAAATGGGTCTGTGTGTGTGTGGGGGGTGTGTGGGGGGGGGTGTGTGTGTTGTGGTGTGGGTTTGGGGTTTTTGGGGTGGGGTGTGGTTTTTGGGGGGTTTTTTTTGTTTTTGGGTGTTGGGGTTTTTGGTGTGGGGTGTTGTGTGTTTTGTGTGTGTGTGTGTTTTTTTTTGTGGGTGTTGTGTGTGTTGCCCGGGGCCCTTTTAAGTGACAGGTTGATTTTTTTCAGGCCAGGCAGGGTGCTATCCGCCCCGCCCAAGCGGAGAGGAGGGAGACAATTCTCGGGGGAAAAACCCCCACCCACACACACTAGCACAGGAGTTTTTTTTACTCACACGGGGGAAACACCCATTGGCTTTGATTATTTGTTTTTTAAAGAATCCCCCTTGGTCCTGTGGGGTTAGTGTGGGTTTTGGGTGTGTGTTGTTGTTTTTTGGCTGGGGGCTGAAAGGAATGAGGCTCGTGAAAAAAAAACTGAAAAAAGAGAAAAGGTTAATTTTCTCACAGCATGAATGAATGAATTTTTCGGCCACACACATACCACATACTCCCTCTTTCACACCAACGCTCCCAAATAAATACTCACCACACACACCCACACACACCACCACACACCCCCTCCATCCCCCCACCCCAAATGTACCCCCCACCGCACACGTTCTCCCCAACAGTTCCCCCTAAATGGGGGGGCCCTTAAAAAAAGGGACGAAAAAAAAAGGGAGGGGGGAGGAAAAAGGGGGAAAAGGGGGGGGGGGGGGGGGGGTTTTTTTTTTTGGGGGGGGGGGGGGTTTTTTTTTTTTTTTTGGCCCATCTTTAAGCTCTGAGGGAAGGGTGCATTTAAAAGAGCAAACAACAAGGATTTAGAGGAATAAATAGCAAGAAAAGGATCCACACACGGGAGGAAAGGGAGATCACACCCACACACCCAACCACACCCTGTCTCTACAGAGCTCTAGGCAGACATCCTTTAGAGCCACCCAAATCAATGCATTAAGGAACAAAAAGGGGCAGGGGGCATCCCGAATGGAAACCATACCCCTATATAGCATACATAGGCCCCTGGTCAAAATTTGTACTATATATATGGTCAGGATCCCCCTTTGGGCGCACCCTCTATCCTTCAACAAAACGTTGGGAATAAACCCAGCACGTTTAATACCAGTGAACTCTTTTAATTTTTTGGAAAACTCTTGTCCTGTTTAAAAAAGGCCGGGTGAAGGCTACAGGCACAAAAAAAAACGCTATCTCTACTCGTCCGTTCTCCCCACAGGTAAAACAAAACTTTCGTTCTCAGATGACCAAAAAAAACAGACAAAACTGGTCAAAAAACAAGTTGACATTTTTTTTAAAAATTTCCTTAGGGAAATCTTTTTTTGTTTGTTTTACCCCCCAAGGAATGTTTTAACTCCGCACAATGCTAGTGGCTTTAGGGGAAGATGCACCTACATGGACAGGGAAAAGAAAATTTGTTTGGGAAGGCCCCTCTTTGGGGGAAAACCCCTAGCCCGACTGAAGTTTTGGGGCCCCCTACGGGGAAAACATCTGTAATTATTCAAATTTTTGGAAAAAGGCCGAGACAAAAAGGGGGAGGAGGAAAGAAAGAGAGAGAAGGGAAAAGAAAGAGAAAAGAGAAAGAAAAAGAGATAGGAGAAAAAAAGCCCTAAAAAATTTTTTGGGAAAATAAAAAAAATTTGGGGAGGACGATTTTTTTTGGGGGACCACCCTTTTTTTTAGTTTTTTGGCCCCCCAAAAAGGTAATTTCCCCTCCATTACGTCCCCCGGAGATCGAAATTTAAAGGGAGGTGGGCTTCTTTTCCCCCCCCGTTCCCCCCCCCCCTTTTTTTTCCCCTTTTCCTTTTTTTTCCCCCCTGGGCCCCCCCCCCCCTTTCCTTCCCAAAAAAACTTTTTTTTTTTTCCTCTTTTTTTTTGTCCCCTTTTTTCCTTCTTTCCCCCCTTTTTTTTCCCCCCCCCCCTTCCCCCCTTCTCTTTCCCCTCCGTTTTCCCCTCTCCTCCCCTCTCCCCTCCTTCCCCTCCCTTCCCCTTTTTTTGTTTTCCCCTCCCTCCCCCCCTCCCCTCCCTAAAAAAAAACCCCCTTTTTCTTTCCCCTCTTTTTTTCCCTTAAAACTGGGCCCCTTTAAAAACCCGCTCCCCCCTCCCCTTCCCTTTTTCTTTTCCCTTTTGGGGGCCCCTCCCTCTTCAAAATTTTTCCGCTTCCTTTTTAAAAAACCCTTTTCCTTTTTTTCCCCCCTTCCTCCCTTTTCCTTCCCTTCCTTTCCCCCCTTTTTCTTTTTCCCCTCCCCCGTTCTCATTTTTTTTCTTCTTTTCTCCCCCCAGAAACCCCCCTTTTTCCCCCAAAAAAAGCCAACCCAGGGGCCCTTTTCACCTTTATGAGAAATTGGGTTTTTGGGGGGGCCGAGGGAAGTTTTTAATCCCATTTTGGGGGCGGGACTTTCCTGTTTTAAAAACCACTTACCCCCCCCCCCCCCCTTTCCCAGTTTTTAAAGATCAAGTTTTTCCAGGGCCCCCCTTCTTGAAAGTTTTTTTGGGGGGCCATTGATTGTTTAAAACTCCCTTGCCCTGGACCCCCAAAATTTTTGGGTAAATTTTTAAAATATTACCCCCTTTTAAATTTTTAAAAAGTTTTTTGTTTTTTGGTTTAATTTCTTTTTTTCCGAAAAAAATTAAATTTTTATAAAAAATTTAACTTTTTTTAAACATTTTAAAAGCAAAATTTCTTTTTAAAAAAATTCCCCCTGAGTCCAAAACGTTTTCTCTTTACCGTTAAAGGGGCTTTCTGGGATCTTGTTTAACCAAACCCCGATAAAAATTCCAAGCTAAAAAAATTTTCTGTCTTTTCTTTTTTTCAACAAAAGGGCCCCTTCCGGCCCCTAAAACCTCCTCTTCGGGTTTGGGGAAACCCCTGTGTTTGGCCCTTTGGTTAATTATTTGTAAAGGTGAATTCATTCCCATTTTTGGGGGGAAAAACAGGTTTAAAAAAATTTTCCTCGGGGGTTTTTCCTCATTTCATTTTTTTTTTTTTTTAAAAATCCCCCCCTTTTCGAAAACAACCCCTAAAAAATGGGACCCTAGCTGAAAAAAGGAAAAGGTACCTAATTCGTTTACCCCAAAAAACCTTGCTTTTGGCAAAAATAATTCTTTCTCCCCTTTTTTCGTTTTCTTAAAACTTTTAACAATCGTTTTGGAAATTGTTATTCAAAAGTTCCTTATTTAAATTGAATTTTTTAATACACAAAATTTTTCCCCTATTTTATACAACATTAAAGAGTTTAAAACCCCCTTTAAAGAAAAACCCCAGGTTTCCCTCTCCCCACTGGTTAAACCCTGTAAACTTGTTTGACTTTATTGTACAAACCAAAGGAATTTTAATTTTAAACCCCAAATTTATTTTTAATGTCTGCTTTTCTTTTTTACCCATCTACCAATAGGTGCTCCTCTTTGCGAGGCATTGGAAAACCTCCCTGGTCTTTGTCGTTGTATCTGTGTTTGAAATTCACTGATCGACTGAGGGACCTTACAGATAATTGTATGTGTGGGGTACAGAGATGAGGTAGCCATTCAAAAATCATGTTAAACACACAATCCATGACTTGTTGAGCTTTTTTTTTTACTCCTGAACTTACTGACTCAAAAGATTTCAGCTTTTCCTTTTTAATTAATTTGTTAACATTTCTAAAAACATTAATCCACTTTGAAATTATGGGGTATTCTCTGTAGGCCAGTGACAAAAAAAATCTACATTTTATCCATTTTAAACACAACAAAATGTGGAAAAAGTCAGGGGGTGTGAACACTTTCTGAAGGCACCATATAATAACTTCACATCTTCAATGAGTTTATCGTTTTTGCTTCTCTAGTTCTGAAGTATTTTAGTACCACTTCTGTCCCGCTGTAGGTGTGTGATGCACAACTAGTCTAACTGAACGAGTAGGACTATGGAACACATTAACTTTTTAAACTATAACACAACAACAATAACAAACCCTAAATGTTGATGACAAACAATCACAGGGAAGAGAGTTTATCACAACACATTCAACAGTAGTACAGTAGTCCTCCCTGCTCTGTCAGTCTCACTGTTTTATCTTACTCCTTGTAATCTAAAAGCTCTCTAAGACAACAGTATTTTACAAAGTGGTACCAAGAAACACTACTGAATTGGGGAGAACCAAAAATTTTCACATTTTTCATGTTTTATTTTTATTTAAAATACACATTTTTGTGCGTGTCAATTTCTACCTGCCCACTCAATAAAAAAATTATACAGCCCATCTGGCATTTGCCAGAATTGCCAGATGGCCAATCTGCGCTAGCGAGCCTGGTTAAATCATGTGCAACTGCCCCCTAGCCACAGCCTAGCCTGGCATGAACTAATGAAAATCCCGACTATACAAATCAAGTGTGACCCAGATCTACCCCATTGTATTTCTACATCAGATCTACCCATTGTATTTCTAAGTGGGTTTCCTACCTGGGTGAGATGTCACATCCCTGCTGCATGAAGGCTCCCAGGGAGAACCAGAGAGAGTTGAAGATGCCAAACTCGTTGGTCTGTTCCTGATTCTGCTGGTTCTGGCCTTGCTGACCAGGGCTCAGCCCCGACTGTTGCCCAGCACCGGGCCCCGTCGGCTGGGTGGGGGTCTGGGGGTCAGCCGCCTCCTCATAGTCCTCTGCGTGCCACTCATAGGGGCTGAAGCGGCTCACCAGGAACAGGACCACGCTCACACCGATGTAGGCAAACACGATACACATCCAGATCTCATAGGCCAGTGGGTCCAGGAAGGAAAATACACCTGGTTTAGACTTGGTGGGCTTCTTGATCATGATGGAGATGCCCAAAGACATGAAGGGCTTGGAGAAGTCGATCACCTCTTCTCGGACCAGGGTGATGGTTAGCGGGGCTACCGCCACATCTGCCTTCTGGAGGAGAGAAGGGGAGAGGGGGAGGAACATAGGGAGAGAGGGAGGGAGGGAGGTAGAGATGGAGGGAGGGTGGGAGGGAGAGAGGTAGAGCGGGGAGGGAGGGAGGGAGGGAGATGGAAAGAGAGACGTTACAGTAGCAAGAAATATTTGATTAGTGCTGTCACCTTGACAATGAACTACACTCAAGCAGAGAGAAAATATTCAAAATAATATAATATCCCATGGTGTATACAGATGTAGGATCTTAATTTGAGCCAGTTTGCTACAGCAGGAAAATAGTCCTATTGCCACAGGAAATGTGAATTATTATGTGGATTATAATTAATTCACTTTTTTGTAGGGGTTGATACATTTTTCTTTAGGGCATATCAAGTCTGACATTTTAATGTGGAAATTACTCTTTGGTAGAGCACAGCGCTTGTAACGCCAAGGTAGTGGGTTCGATCCCCGGGACCACCCATACACAAAACATTTTTCGTATGAACGCATGACTGTAAGTCGCTTTGGATAAAAGCGTCTGCTAAATGGCATATTATTTATTATTATTATTTATTATTTTATAAACTTTGCATACACTACACGTTTGCATTTCCTGCCATGCAGGACAATTCTCAGCAACAAAAGAGTGATCAAATTAAGATCCTACATCTGTAAATAAAAACCAGTTTTCTACATCAGTAAATACACCTGTAGAGCTAGATACTGTCCAGTACAGTAGGAGGACACAAAGAAGGAGAGGAAATAAATGTAAATTGTCACTAGACAAAACATTAAGAACACCTGCTCTTTCGATGACATAGACTGAACAGGTGAATCCAGGTGAAGTCTATGATCTCTTATTGATGTCACTTGTTAAATCCACTTCAATCAGTGTCGATGAAGGGGAGGAGACAGGCTAAAGAAGGATTGCTAAGCCTGGAGACAATTGAGACATGGATTGTGTATGTGTGCCATTTAGAGGGTGAATGGGCAAGGTAAAATATTGAAGTGCCTTTGAACAGGGTATGGTAGTAGGTGCTAGGATCACCGGTTTGTGTCAAGAACTTCAACGCTGCTGGGATTTTCATGCTCAACAGTTTTCCTGTGTGTATCAAGAATGGTCCACAACCCAAAGGACATCCAGCCAACTTGACACAACTGTGGGAAGCACAACTGCGGGGGTTGGGTGCAACTCAATATTAGGAAGGTGTTCCTGATGTTTGGAATCCTCAGTGTATATACAGCATAAGGCTGTACACATACAGAGGTTTTGTTAATCAGGAAACACTCAAATTCTAACCTTGACCTCCTGTAGACCCCATTCTCCCCCCCTCACACCCACACCCATCTCCCCATAGCATCACAAAGACCCTTTTACAGTTTTTTCTCAATTGCTAAAACCAGTGGCGGCTCCTGAAAAAATTCTCAGGAGGGGCAATTTTTCTGATGATTTAGGTGACCTACACACATTTTAAAAAAGATATGTCCAGCAACAACATGAAGACAGGGGCAGCATATAAGTCAATACCAGAAGCATTTATTGACTGATCTCAAAAGTGTTGGCTTACCAGGGTTGGTGGAGCCCTCAGTTTCATCTTTGCCTCGCAAAGCTAACTCAAACACTCCGCAAAACTTCACACACTGGATTAGCCGGCTGAGGATGTGGCGGGTTCTTGCTAATGTCGTAGTAAATATATTTGTTATAGTGAATATGGAATATGATATGTTGAGTAAAATGTTGTGCTAAGATCTATTTAGGTCAGGAGCTGGTTATAAGTTCTGTTCCTATCCAATAACAATGGACAAAAGGGTCCTATCTTGTCAGCCTTGTCAGCAGGTGGCCAAGGACAACACCCACGCCATAGGCCTCTCAGTTCTTCCAACTCACGAGTTCTTGCTCTGAGGACACACACACACACAAACACACACACACACACATCATCACTGTTAAACACACACACACACACACACACACACACACACACATCATCACTGTTAAACACACACACACACACACACACACAAAAATCCCCTCTCTTAGGCTGAACATTTGAAGACAGAGAACCCGACTCAGAGCCAATGCAACAGTGACAGTAGCCTGGAGGGGACCTCGCCCAACTCATCAGGACCAATCAGAAGATCAGAACTACTAGATTCAACCTACTTCATTTATTGCATAAAATGTCTGCACACAATGTTTCGGGGCTCTCTTCAGATAATAATAATAATAATAATAATATGCCATTTAGCAGACGCTTTTATCCAAAGCGACTTACAGTCATGCGTGCATACATTTTTGTGTATGGGTGGTCCCGGGGATCGAACCCACTACCTTGGCGTTACAAGCACCATGCTCTACCAGCTGAGCTACAGAAAGTGGATACTCATGGATGCGCATCGCAATTGTAAAATGTCAACACAATTGGAGACACCACGTCATTTTTGGAGACATGTTATTGACAGTAAACTATTGTAGATGCGACTGCTAACTAAATAAAACATTTTAGCTGGCTAGCTAATCATCTTAGCTAAATGTGGGGCAAACAATTCAGTTATTTACCGTTAATTTGAGGGATTGGGGTGAAAGAAATCGAGTTACATAGTGATACTTTACGATATACTGTATTGACAATATCGCAATATTTTAGCGCTAGTTGGCTGTACCTGCACCAAAACACCATTATTGTTCCTTCATAGCTTGTTCTCAATCTTTTCACATTGGGAGCCAATTTGTTTTCAGCACTTTTATTTCCATGACTGATCAAAACTCGTTCTCATGGCTTTCTGATCCCTCTGCAACAGACATATGGTGCGCAATAAAATCACAGTATCGAATCGCAATACGTATAGAATCATGAGACTCGCAATGCTGATGCATATATCTTATCGTGAGGTTCCTGGCAATTCCCCAGCCCAAGTTTCATTTGCCACAACAAATCTCTTCGCTAGCAAACGCGATGTCTTCTCCAAAACGGCAATGTGTCTCCAGCAATGTTTACTTTTTTGACGTTCTATGGCATCTCCACTTTCCAAGCATATATGACCACATGTAATATTTTGGTAAGTGATGCAAATAGTGAACTATGTAGGGCCAGGATGTAAAATATATGTAGCTGCAGCAATTTCTCTTATCTGATATGGTAAGTAATGGGGCTTAATTTATAGCTCCCTAAGAGTTTGACGAACGGGTCCGTGAACGCGATTCCAGATATCTTTACCTCTGAATAAACTGCCTTTATTATACCATATCCACCCTGTCCAAAGTCTCTACTTGGTCTCAGTTCTCCAGTAAACTTGTGATTATCAACACTAACCTCATCGTTGTGGCGGCGGACAGCTAGCCTGTATCCCTCATCCAGTTGAGTGAGTGGCAATGTCTTTTTTCGTTCGTACCAATTTTTGGAAAATCCTCGGGTGTAGGACTTTCCGCCTTTAGTAGAAACCTGTTGAATTATTAAATTTGGTCTGGGAGGTCCTAATTGTTTCGTTGCCAATTTATCTTCATTTGTTCGCCGACAAAAAGGAACTTCTTTCAAACAATCCGCTCTTTTCTCAGTTACGTTCATGGTTACGTAACGTATGACGAAAGCGCGTAAGTGCAAGCCCACAGACACCCATTGAGATTGTATTGAAGGCTCTGAAATTTTGAAAAAAATAGATTTTACATGGGAGTCTATGACAGACTTCTGGGCGATTTTCAACCTGACTGAAATCGCCCCAAAAGGGGGGGGGGAGCCATTTGAAGCACGACTTTAGCCTGATTCGACATTTAGTGGCAGTGTGGCACTGTGGCAGATCAGACGTATAGATTACAACACTGATAACTACTGTTGCCGTGATATAATTGATTAGAAAAAAAATCCCTTCCTTTTCCCGTTTGGCAGTGCGTCGCCCATATCGCCCTATTGAACAGGCCGCCCTGGCTAAAACACTAAACCCTATTGTCTGAACCAAATGCTCAGTTGCCTGAACCCACTGATTGAATCAATCACTCTTTGGCAAAACCATAAGCACTTTTCACCTGTTTAGACATAACTTGCCAACACATTTTCATTGTGATGCACCCGTGCTGCATAATGGTGAGCACAGGTGACAAAAGTCAAACACAATTAGAGCACAGGTGTCACCACTTGAACACACAACTAAATTGATCACACTTGTGGCTAAGTGAGGGGGAACATATACAGTAAGCCAGTTTAGAGAGCACTGGTTTGTGAGGCCTACAGTGGATAGAAATCTGAGAGGAAGAGTTGTGTGAGAGGAGGTCGAGGTGGTCAGCGAAGACAAAGAACAGTAATATCGATGAAATCAGAGCTACTGTGATTGCATGTCTTGTCCATGGTATGGCATGAGGGAGGCTGGACAAGGGTACAACCAAACTCAGTAGATTCACTGTGTCCACCCGAAATTTGA